AATTGAGGTTTCTCTGTATGTCTCTGGATATGGTCAGCAGCTTGCAGGATTGGTTCTTAAGTGCTTAAATCCTCCTCCAACACACAACCCAAATAAAACCTTCTCTTCAGAAATGACCTTCTTCACCCCTGCAGTTACTGCGTCAAGCCATAATAATACAGTGTAAATACACCAAGCATCTTTTTAATTCTTAACAGCTCTAGGCTAATCCAGCAGTTAGAAGTTGGTATTCTGATTTGCTCGTTGCACAAGACTGGTGTTTAGTTTGAACAGTTGGTGCTCAGGAAGCAAAAGGTTGGGGTTTTTTTTTTTAAGACTCGACTGAATCTAAACTATAGTTGTTCCATTCATTTCATTTTGAAATAAGAATGCCTTGGCATGTTTTAATAAAGCTCAGTGATTTATTTGTGAAATTCCTGTGGGGGGGTAGAGAGGGGCAGCAAAGGGAATTGCACAAAAAAAAAAAAGCTTGCAGCAGCAAACTAAGATAAATTCTGCATCCTAATCATTTAGCACATAATGGTGCACGCCACAAAAACAAACAGAGCATTCCTTCTGTCTGCAGGGTTATTAAAAGGTACTTCAGACTACATAGTCATTAGACAGGTGGGTGGTTTCTCTGATTATTTCCTACATCTAAAATTTATTCAGGGCTTTTGTGAAAACGGGGAATAATACAATATCTCCACCCTGCCAGATTAAAAATGGGAGATTAAAATTGTAGCCAACATGTTACCTAAGAAGTGCATTTTATGTCATTTTCTGTTCTTCTCTTGCATTCTGAATTGTCCTGACCTGTACATACTTGCATTTCAGATATTGATGAATGCCTTCAAGGTGGCCTGGGTACCTGTGGCCAAATCTGTGCCAATGTTCCGGGGTCCTATATCTGCTCCTGCTTGCCTGGCTACACACTGGATAATGACAAGTGGTCCTGTTATGCTGATGGTAAAGTGATCCTTTTTTAATGGCTGAAAAGAGCTTTACAATTTTCTCTAGCTCTTAGCATCAGCTTACAGTGTGGAAAGAGTCCACTATGTTCAGAGCACAGACTCAAAATACCTCAGTTAATGGACAGTGCCTGGCCAGTTTCATTCACTTTCTGTACAACTGCCTCTTCTAACATAAAAATCAAATGGAAGGTGAAAGTGAAATGGGCTGGTTCTCTGGTTTAGTGAGTTATTTTTCATACTTCATGGATGTCATAGGTATGGTTGTGGTAAGAAAATGAGCATCTAAGATGGACGCTTCTTACTTAGCAGACTTACTCCCTACCTGTTTTCAGTCATAGATAGCATCCATGGACGATGCGTAGGGGATGCATGTGGGTGCATGTGTACTCCCTGAGTATGGCAGTGCACCCCTTGCAAAAAGGTGCTGCCAACATTGTCGGTGGCACCTGCGAGTGGTTGCCACTCGCCAACCTGCCACCAGCACTGCTGGCAGTGTCTGCAGGCAGTCCACGATTGCCCCTGGTTGGTGCTGACCACCCCCAGCTTCTTGCTGCTGACAGCACTGGCAGTGTTTGTGGGAGCTCTGTGCTTACTGCTGCTGCACTCCTGCTGCTGCACTCCCACCACTGCCAGTGCAGTCATGCCCCCCCAGCCACTGAGAGCATGTGCCATTCATGATAGCATCTCTCTTTATCTCTCTTCTCATGAGTGTGTGTGTGTGTGTGTGTGTGTGTGTGTGTGCCTACTACCCTCCTAGCCTTCCCCTAACCATTCCCATCCCAAAACAATCATGGCACTCACAAGACATTTGCTGCCTTCATATTTTCAAATCTGCTGTATGTTGTCCCCCTTTCTGTTACCCTGCATTTATCTTGTCTATACCTGCACTGACTTTATGAGCTAGTTTTGGGTACCTAAAGTCATCTTTTAACTCTGGCAGTACAGAACTGTGTGAAGGATTATATGCTGTGCTGAAAAACAGGTGTGTTGTCATCATTGGACTGCTTTCAGAATCTAATTATCTTCCATTATCTCACTTTACAGTCCCAATAGCTTGCTTAGATCTAGATCAAGGCTCTCCATCTGACGCTGCCATCTTCTGTGTAGACATCTTTAGAATGCAAGTCCTTTGTGGGATAGACTTTCTACTGCTCTGCACATGTACAGTGTCTAGTAGGGCTGTGTGAAGCTTCAGTCGCTGAGTCAATTTGGCCCAGTTTGGTGGCTGAATCTCCAAATCCAAATCGAATCAGGAGACCCTTTAATTTCTCTGAATCGAATTGGAGAGATTTGGAGAGATTCGATAATTCAGAAATAGACACAGCTTTAAATGTTTTTTCTACAAACCTCAAGGTACCAAGTGTCTCATGAAAACTGAGATGGCATATGAAGTGTCCCACAGGACCATGGGGGGGGGGGTGGTCCCCAGCATGCTCAGCAGTGGACCCAGAAGTGGACCAGAAGCACTTCCAGTCCACTTCTGAGTCCACCGGGTAGTGCACTGTCCCCTGGCTCAGTGACTGGTGTCTCCTGGCTCTGGGGAGACACCCGGGGTCTGCCTGCAGCCGATTGCCGAGCCAGGGGGGCACAGGGGGAGGTCCCCCGTGCGCTCGGCGGCAGACCCAGAAGTGGACTGGAAGTACTTACGGTCCACTTCCAGGTTCACCACTGAGCACAGGGGCCCCCCCACATCTGCCCCACCATCTCAGCGTTCATGAGCCGCACCTGGTACCTTGAGGTATGTAGAAAAAACATTTAAAGCTGTGCCTATGGTCAAATCGCTGATTCTCTGAACCAGCATCAAATCTTCAGTTTCGGATTCGGCTGAATTGAATCAGGACAGTGATCTGAATCAACAAATCGAATCACTGTCCCCAATTCATGCCGAATCTGAATCCAAATTGAATACGGCCCGTTTTGCACAACCCTAGCGTCTAGCACACTGAGGTTACTAGGCACAGCTGTTAATACTCGTAGCTCTCTGTTTCACTCTCTCTTGGGTTTCCAGTGCTGTGGTATTTAAGTATATGACCAAAGCACATTTTAACACTTTTTTGCTGACATATGTTAGCCTTCCCATGTCAGTATATTTAAGGGGGCCTGAGCCTTATTTTGCTTGGCTCACAAATAAACAGAATTATTAATTCAGTTCTGGCTTGGGGGCTATAACTAGAAAGAACCAAGCTTGATGTAGGTATGCCCCGCTGAGTTTACAAGGCTAGCTCTTTAAAAAGAAGCATTCTTTTATTTTGGATTTATTTCTAAAGAAAGTACGTTTGATTTGAACATCAGTGGGGTGAAAGTTAACATGTAATCTTCCAATACTGTTTGTACATAGATGGTTTTCAAAGAACAAACACACATTACAGAAGAAAAGATACTGGCAGATATTATTGTTTTATAAACATAGCTCTGAGTTTTAAAGGAGTACTCCAGTAGGGTCTATGGTACTCTTGTTTGGGTGACTGTTTGTGCTTCTCTGCAAGGATAATGCAAATATTACTACGTTATCCACTTCTATCGGATATAAACATTTTTTATCAGACGTGGACCTTCTCTTCAGGGGTTCTACAGGGGCCTAGTCTTCATTATGACCTCTACTCTGGGTATAATTTCTACAATAGGAAGTCCACCAAACATATTTTCTTCATATTTTATAGCTCTTTAGGGGACTGCTTATCTGTTTCTGCAGATACAATGTGTTGATAGCATGAAGCCTCAAACCCAATTGGGAGCTTCTGGGTGATTCTGGATTATAAATATTAAATGGCAATGGAAAATCCGAACAGTACAGAATCCCTAAGTATATTCAGTGCCATTACACTGAGAGCCTTCAGTTTGACTCTCCTAGTGTGAAATTCATTGGCTGGAAAGGACAAAAACAAAATACATGTAAGCTCTTGGTCCAGGGAATAACTGGCAAAAATACCAGCAGTGCAGCTGTCAGACTCCTGAGACAAATCAACCTTGCTACAGCTCAACATTCATTTACTATTTACGTAAACCAAGTCTACATAGTTCAAATATTCTCACATGGAGATGCTCAATGCAAATAACAGCAGAAAAAAAGAGTCACCAATGTCCTAAAAGCAGCTGTTATAATTGGATAATACCTTGAAAACTCCAAGTACAGCACAACTTATCCTAAAGATAAATGTACTGGTGAATTTCCTCTTACAGAACAGCAAACCATATCTTGCGTATTGGTCAAAACCTGATGCCTGACTTGCTTTATGAAAGGGGACTCAAACTCAATCTTGAGGTGCGAGGTTTTCCATTATTCTGACGGGAGATAGTTCAGACCTGGAGGTTTATTTTGCCCTCACCTTGTAAGAGTTTGTCCATCTAAAGGTTGTCCAGCTTAATACAATTAAATGCCAACTTATTTCAGAACCCAATTTTATTTTGTTGTGCAAAGAAGAACTTTTAAAAAACTTTTCTGAAAACAGTAAAATGGGTGTACTTATTCATACTTGCGCATGCTAAAAGCACATCAATGAAACCGGGTGGTAGGGTATGGGTTTGATTGATCTAGGAGTTCTCTTTCCTTGGAAACGAAATCCAATAGGTGATTGGGTAGTTAGCTATCTTCTGTATCTATCTCACAGTTGCATTTCTAATAACTTGATTAAATAGCATTTATCATGAATCTCTTATCCCTTCATTTGCTAACTAGTCACAGAGAGACATCTCCTACAGGTACAAGCTGCCACCAAAAGGTTTATAGCTTTCACCTCCAAAGGTGGTTTTGTCAGAAAATTGGTGATTAGTCAGTGGAATATTTTTTTCCAAAACATTTTTTTTAAATGAAGGCCAAATTATGACACATTAATTTTTTCTCTTGCAAGAAGCATACTCTCTCAGCGGGCAGGCAGAGTGTGGCTAGATTGCACTATCAGAGTGAGAAGTACAAGTACTGGCACTGAGGACGTCCAAGTACAGCACGTATCTAATTGGGTCTATCAGGGCAAGAGGATGGGGGCAGAATGCATCTTTGAAAGCATGTTAAGGAACAAAAATGCAGAATTATGGCACTCAAAGAGCATTACATGCTCTGGCCTCTAATGACACCAGGAGGGGGGGGGAAATCTAATGTGAATTTATAAACTGATTTAGCTTAATCTAGGACCACAAAAGCTAAAATACAAAAAAATCCAGCTACATAATAATTGCCCTGTCTTTACCTAAGGTTGTCTGGGTGCCCAAACTGTGCATTTCCACATGTCTGGATTCCTGGGTTTTGGCGATCATTTGAATATCCTTGGGATGTACTTGACACAAAGCTGATGAAATGTACTGTCGCTCTTAACTCTTCAGTAACATAATTTTTGTTTGGGAATTAATCATAATAATTAATTGTTATTATGATTAATAATAGTTCAGATACTAACAGTTGGAACAGTGTGTAAGAGCATCTGGTTCAATTCTATGATCACTTTCCAGATGCTTCTTCCTGTTAAAAGCTTTAGTTTCCTAGTCTGGGGAGATGACAAGACATTAGAGTTCTTCTAGGGCTGGGGCTGTTCTCACCAGATACACATAGCTGGGAGACCTTTAACCAAAGAAACATAGACTAGCACAGAGGGGGCCTTTTTGGCAAGCATGCCACAAATTAGCCCCACATCCTTACCAAATGTCACTCCAATCCCCTTCCCCTGCTTGATCTGCTGCTCTGTTTTCTGCTTCCTTCCCTGTACTTATTGTTCAGTTTGCTACTTGGCTTTCTGCTCCCTGCTTTATTTGCCACTGTGCTGCCTCCTCACTTCCTGGTTTGCCATGTGCCACACACAGGGTGCCCATGCAACTTATGGCACTCATTTTGTAGGCTGGCCACCCCAGGACTAGAACATCGTCCTCCTCCCCGCTTCACTTTGGCTATAGTATGTAGAATTAGATACAGACAACCCGCACCATTCGCGGGGGATTCGTTCTCATATCCCCCGTGAATGGCAAAATCCGCAAATAAGGCACTGCATTCATGAATGCCATCTGTGTTCATGAACTCAGTGCCCCCGGTGGCTTGCGGGTGTGTGTGCACGGCTGCCCTAGCAATGGCGGGAGCATGGCGATGGTGGTGGGAGTGTGGCAGCAGCAAGCGTGGAGCTCCCGCACAGCTCCTTTAAGTGTATTTAAGAAGCGGGTTTGGCATTCACAAATATTTGAAACAGCAAATGCCAAACCCTTGAAGAGTGTGGGTTTCCTGTATTTCCTCTTTCTGTAATCTCAGTTTTATTTGTGAATTTTTGAGGTAGTTATTTTTCCACAATCAAAGTGAGGTAACATCACCTTTGTGTGACACATTGGTAATTATGAGACTTATATGGGCAATGACACAAAATGCATAACATTTGAGTGTTTGGAGTATCATCGGTTTCTACCTACTCTACAATTAACATGGAGATGAGAGGAATTTGGTCCCATAAAAGTACAATAGCTATGAACACATCTTTTTTCCCCCCTAGATCCTGCACCATTTCTCATTTTTAGCCATGGAAATGCCATCTTTCGAATTGATAGTGAAGGCACTAATCATGAGCGAATAGTAGCCAATGCTGGTGAATCAACCCTCATAGATTTTCATTACGAAGAAGAGAAAATGTATTGGGTAGACACCAAAAAAGGGCTTCTGCAACGAATATACCTAAATGGCACAAAACAAGAGGTAAGGTAATACAGTAAATTTTGGTTAATTTTGCCTATGGGATAATTTGCCACTATGGTTTAATTCATTGTTGTTCCAGTTCCTTGACAGTCCCCCATTGTCCCCCATTGTGAATCTCCGATAATTGGTCACTACTGAATACTTTGCCATTATTTGCATTCTCTATGGAATTTTGAACTAACTCGAGATAACTAATTTTGACAGAATTCTCTGGGATACCAGGTATAACAAACACATCAGATGTGTGGCTGCTCCTCACATCTCGTGTTAGCAGTTTATACTTATTGGTTTGCTCCCAAAGCAAAGTGTGGAGCTTTGGCATAATGACCACAGCAGAAACTCGGAGAACTGTGTTTAGTAGACTGTTCCATTGGCATTCATAGTGCGCATGGCTGCCACAGTGTGAGTAACTGGAAACAGAATGAAAATCAAGAAATTCAGACAAACCAAATTTTGAAGGCAGCACCGATTTCTACTGGCTTTTAGTATATATTACTGGCATTGTAAGAATTTTCCATCTTCAGAAACCTAAATTAAAGAGATCATATTCCCTCACATTTTTGAACGTATTAAATGATTTATTGTGACCTGTAGTCACAATAAACGCTCCTTTCAGCCTTCTGTTTTTGGTTCAGAAACAGCTGCACAGTATGTTGTATTTGGTGGCAATGGGTAATGTATGTTGAACGATGGCCAGCACTTCTAGAACTTTTTTCTGGTACTGACTGGGTGCTTTTTTTCTGGTACTGACTGGGTCCATATACTGGCACCAGTGCCATTAATGGGTAGTAATAAACTGTGGAGCTAATTGCTCTCGGGTGCGTGCTTTACATGTGTGTCTGGAGCACAGCACATTGAGCCAGGTCATAGCAGCCATGGCTGGCAGGGGACCTAGAGGGTCAGCTTGTAAGCCTGGGGCTTCCTTGACTGGGATCAGTGTGTTTTGGGGGGGCTGTCCAGGGTACAAGACTGCTTCAGTGTGGGGCTAATCAGCAGGCAGCCCCCACACTGAAGCACTCATGTGCCCCAGTCAGTCGGCTCAGCACCTACACATGCGGTGCTGTGCATGAGAAAACTCTGCAGCAGGGTAGGACTTGTATTTAGGGTGCATGTATAGAGGCTGAGATATTTACTGCAGAGTTAATTAATCAACTGCACAGTAAATGTCTTGTGTAGACACACCCAGTGGGTGCTACCCAGGCAAATGCCTCTGCTCCTGCAGACATGACTAATTTACTCTGAGTGCATGAGCTTGAAGGATCTTGGACCTTAGAGTAGGACTGGGAATTTGAATCCTTTTATGGTGAGTGCATGCAGAGTAGCATGTTAGGAAGAAGGAAAATCTAGACAGTTTTCACTGGAGAACAGGTCATTCTAGGCATCATTTAACTTAATGGTTTGCATTTATAAATGTAGGTGTGAGTATAAAGGCAGACATGGAGAAATACAGAAGAAATTAAGCTGATTAAAGTCACAGGTATTCTGTACCTGGTGACACATTAGATTAACATGGTAAAGGCACAGCAGATCACAAGAAAGTGATATGGCAAGTATGACATTCCCCTAAATCTTGCACCATTCCTCATTTTTAGCCATGGAAATGCCATCTTTTGAATTGACAATGAAGGGACTAGTCATGAAAGAGTTGTAGCCAATGACCTTGATTGTTCAGTCCAAATGCACAGGTACCCACATACAGCTGGGTTGACAGGGATAATCCTGGCTCTTACCTCTGGAGGTATACTTGTTGGCTACAAAGGACCAAGTCACAGGATCATAATAAATTCTAGTTTATTGGACGGGATGTGAAGTTACCAGTAAGATCATAAATGGAAACTTTGAGTTATGGGTGGTACAGGTCACCTTAGTGTGTGTGCGCGCGCGCGCGTGCACACACACACACACACACACACACACACACACACACACACACACACACACACATTCAAACCCATGTCATTCAAGCCCATGTAGTATAGAGTATAGAAGCTGCTGTAGTGACTGTGAGCTTTCTGGCTTGCTCTGAGCCTTGCCACACCCATACAATGAGTGTGCTAGGTCTCTGCCAATACTTAGAAGAAAAAGAAATGCACCATATTGGGTGGGGGGTGCAGGTAAGAAGGGGCGTCTGTTATATCCATGTCCAGAAGGGAAATGTACAAGGGGCCTTTTGCTACATAATGAGGCACTTTGACTGTTCTGCCTTATGACTAGTCCTGAGAGAGAGAATTCTCTGTATATGGTGCTGTGAAATGAGGTGGAAGTCTTTATGTATTTGTACCTTATCAGTTGTATTTGTGGATGAGTTCAGTATGATAATTTTGGCTGTATTTTTATTGGTGTGGTTTATTTTCCTTTTTACAGAGACTGTGTTATGTAGGAAAAGGTGTTTCAGGATTTACCATCAATTGGATAAATCAAGATATTCTTTGGGCCAACCAGCAGAAGGCAACCATTGAAACAACCAATATGAATGGAAACAACTCCCGAGTCCTTTTAAAAGATGTAGGTCATCCCACGAGTATTGCTGTTGATCCTGGAAAAAGGTAAATCTGTATGGGTTTATACATTCACAAAATAAATGAAGTGCTTTTATTATTAGTTGTAGGCTAATGGGATACAGTCTGTGTGCAGTAGATTGATCCTAAAGCCAAATAATTTTTACAACTTTGACAAAAATATTATGAAGAGTAATTAGCACAGAATTGAGAGTGGCAGGGGGCAGCAGTATGTTGGACTTCAGCACAGAAACTCAACCTCTTAGCTCATTAAAACAACAGGGGGAGGGCTGTGATTGCAAGGAAGAGGAGAAATGAGGATGTGGAGGTGGAGGTAAAATGGTAAAGATGCCTGAAAATCTTGGGAAACCATGGTCTATACCACAGTCCTGATTAAGAACTTAGTGTTTATTTAGAAATAGGTGACTTTTAAAGCAGCACTAAATATATTTGGTTTTTTGTTTCCCTCTTTTAATATATTGCCTCTGCTCTTGGATAGCTTTGAATATTTGTTCTGCAGCTACTGTTATTGCTCTGAATGCCAGGTTGCTATTTGTTTGGGGTCTCCCCCATCTTCTACTTACTGGTAAGTTTATTGATTTGGAAGTTCCCACAGCGCTTGAACTTTTGCATCCTAAAACCACATCATAATATTTTTATGAAGAATATAAACTTTGCTAAACTGATAAACTCTATGGACAGCTTCATCACAGATGCATTTTAAAGCATTATTCATATACATACCAGTCAGTCTCATAAGTTAATACTAAACTGTTAAGAAAACGGACTTCTAGGAGGACTTGGTTATAGAATAATCTGTCCTGATGCTTTTGTGTATATAATATTAATTTAGTTGTCAAGTAGTGAATAACTTTATTTGTACTCTTGGATTCACCAAGAGCATGTCATGCCTGACCTACCTGATTACCTTCTATGATGAGATGACTGATTTTGTGGATACAGGGGGAGCAGTGAACACAATATACCTTGACTTTTGCAAGGCTTTTGATACCGTCTCCTACATTCTTGCAAGCAAGCTCAGGACATGTGGGTTGGATGAATGGACTGTAAGGTGGATATAAAACTGGTTAGATTATTGAGCTCCAAAGGTAGTAATGTCTAGTTGGCAGCCGGTATCAAGTGGAGTGGTCTAGGTGTCGGTCCCAGGGCTGGTTTTGTTCAGTATTTTAATCAGTGATATGGAAGATGGAATGAAGCAAGTTAGCAGATACCACCAAGCTGGGGGCGTAGCAGGTATGCAGGAGAGTAGGTTTAGGATTCAGAGAGACCTAGGCAAATTGGAGGACTGGACCAAATTAAATCTGCTTTTGTCCTTATTGGACTTCATGAAAGGCCTGCACTTAGTACAGAACAATCCCATGCACCACTACAGGCTGGGAGCTGACTGGCTAAGTATCAGGTATGCAGAAAAGGACCTGGGAGTTATAGTGGACAATAAGCTGAATATGAGCCAACAGTGTGTCCTTGTTGCAAAGAAGGCTAACTGCATACTGGGCTGCATTTGTAGTTTTGCCAGCATGACCAAGGGAAGTGATTATTTCCCTGTATTTGGCTGTGGTGAGGCCATATCTGAAATACTGTGTCCAGTTTTGGGCCCCCACTATGGAAAGGATGTGGACAAATTGAAGAGTTCTGTGGAGGGCAACAAAAATGTTTATGGGGTTGGGGCACATGGCTTCTGAGGAGAAGCTGAGAGAACTGGGCTTGCTTAGTATGGAGAAGAGAAGACTGAGGGGATTTAATATCAGCATTTAACTACCTGCATGGTGGTTCCAAAGAAAATGGAGATAGACTGCTTTCAGTGGTGTCAGATAACAAAACAAGGAATAATGAATGCTTTCAAGTTGCAACAAGGGAATTTTAGGTTAGATATTAAGAAAAACTTTCTCACTAGGAGGGTAGTAAAGCAGTAGAACAGGCTACTGAGAGAAATTTTGGAATCTCCATCTTTGGAGGTTTTTAAGACCTGGGTAGACAAAGCCTTGGCTGGGATGATATAGCTGGGGATGGTCCTACTGTGACCAGGGGGTTGGACTAGATGACCTCCTGAAATCCCTTCCAACCCTAATTTTCTATGATTGTTGTACCCATTAGTTTTCTGTAAAAAGTTTAGACATGATCAAGAAACTGTAAGAGAGCACACTTTTGTTCAGCAAAGAATCGTGAGTCAGTGGATCTGGTTTCTGCATCTTATTCATGCCACTGACTTCTTGCATAATCTTGTGCAACTCACCTGTGTCCAATCTAACTCCCACCAAAATTAAGAGGAAAAATTCTGTTGACTTTTATGTGATTTCTAAGCACACTCTTGTTCCTTGGCTTTTCCATTTGTAAAACGGAGATGAATTATAGTAGTTACCCAACATTTTAAAGGATTAGTTAACAAGCGCTATTATTATTGCAGTGTTTGAAAATGGTAATGATATCCATCTTGAATTGTCTGTACTAAAACATTTTTTCATCCATGGCTAATAGACTGTGACAGTCATAGAATGTATATCAGTAATTGCATTGTAAGCCTCTTGAGGCTTTTGCCCTTCTTATTTTTCATATATAACATGTTTACCTTTATTGTTTAAGTCTTTATTTTCTTGTTAGTCTTCTACATTACACATGAAGCTTTCATCTACATTGTATGTCTCTATAACAGTGATTCTCAACCAGTGACATGGGAATATTAGCACTATACTTGATTCAAAAGATGAAACCAAGAGAATTCAAATAGGAATCCACAGTGTAAAAAAAATTCTGGCTTGCTCTTTGCAACAAAAGAATTGCTTTATTATTTTTCTGTAGTCAAGAAACAAGTGAAAGCTAAAAGCTGGCATTTTCTGAGGGGTGCCTTAAGTCTAACAAAGTTGAGAACAACTGCTCTATCATCACCTGAAAACAAATGAAATGATATTATAGGAACCAAGAGGCTAAAAGTAAAGATAAGAAAGGGGAAGCAGTTGATTAAAAAGTATGGCCTCCTTCTTTTGTTTATGATTTAACTTAACAGCACTAACTAATAGACATTTTGAAGTCAGAACTGACAATGTACAGCTTTCAACTGGTATTTTCTCCAGCAAGGTTGTTGTTGGGGAAGAAGGAGATTAGATATGACATTTCTGATACTGCTAAAGAAAAATAGAATTTTTTTTGTGTTTTTTATGTGATTCTGGTAACCAAGACCATTCGCCCACTGAACTCCATCCTAACAACAAAAAGCATTAAAGCCTGCAAGTCTCAAACACCTCTAACAGTTGTAAAGCAAAATGGCTAGGGGTGCACCGATAAAGACTTTTTGGGCTGATACCAATGGCTGATTTTTAATGAGCCAAATTGGCCAATACTGATCCGATTGTGCTGTGACAGGGGCTATGGTGAATTTTGGGGTAGCTGTACCCCCCAGTGCTGTTGCTGCCCACCCTGAGCACAGCTTGGCTTAGCCCTCCCGCCAGGAAGAACTTGGCACAGCCCTGGCCCCAGCCTGCAGCTTCAGCCTGCCCTTGCCCATGCACAGATCCGGAGGCACCCTCCCCATATACCCTCCTGGGGTGAATGCAGCAGCAGGAGCCATCCCCCCTCCGCCATCACTCTGTGCAGCCCTGGCTGTGCAGTGCCTGCCTCTGCCCCAGCTCCATTCCCTCTCTCACTGCGAGGGCCTTGGTCTGTGCCCCCCATGCCTCTTCCCTCCCCCGGCCCCTTCCCACACAACACAAGCTGCCCTCCACACTGCCAGGCTGTGTTCCTGGCTGCCAGTGTGCTGCACTGCAGCTGTGCACATGCACGGGGCATTTATTGGCGACATTATGGGCCACATCAGCCAAAAAAAGCCAATTGCCGATAATATCAATTTTCCGTATATTGGTGCTGATATGATATGGGACCGCTGTATTGGTGCACCTCTAAAAATGGCAACGATGTGTCAAGAGTAATATTCAGATGCTCTTAGGCATACGGCCTTGCCAGATTTTCAGGTGTTGCTGAATTAAGAATCCAAGAAGAATATCTTGTAAATATAGTTTTTGAGTTTGGATTTTTGCATAGCTGGTTTTTCCTTTATGCCACAGCTATCTTAGTGAGTATTGTGCTTCAGAATGAGGTGATTCAAATCTGGGCATACTGAATAAAGATGAATAAAAGTGAATGAAGTCTGGGTTAAATAACTTGCATCATCTCCTTCACTGACTATCAAATTACTTTTCTAAAATATGGCTCCCTTTTGCTTTTAGATTCGTATTTTGGTCTTCAGACAGTGCTCTTCCCAGCATTCTTAGGGCAAGGCTTGATGGAACTGACATGAGAGGCATTTTAAGGACCACTGAAAAAATAAAGGCAATCTCATTGGATTTTGCTGATGTACGAATTTTCTGGGTTCAGTATGACAGTGAAGAAGATATTTCACATGTAGGATCATGTGACTATAATGGTGGCTCTATTCATTTGCTCAAGCATTCTGCACAGTAAGTTTTACTGAGCCAGACAGAAAGAAATAAAATATTTTCTCAGGCTTTGTGAGATAAATTCATCTTCTTCCCACCCTATTTTGTGACTCTGGAAAACATTCAGGAATATAAAATAGATATGGAAAATGACAAAGCATTCTCATAACAGCAGATATATAGTTAGAAGATGACAGGAAAATAGAACAAGCAGAACCCATTTCCATTGCTGCCTGGATAATACCACCTTTTGGCTCGTCTCTTCAGAGCCTTAAACAATCACAACTCACGAGTCCTTAGGAGGAATCTTCTGTGGAGGATTAGGAATCCTTCTTGGCAGAGAGGTGTAAGTGGCCAGTACTGCCGGTACTGGGCAGTCCCCTGTCCTTCCTTCTCCCTCTGCCTTCCCCCAAGCTCTGGCACTGGCATAGGGAGGGGCAGAAGAGCAGTGTTAGCACAGAAGTAGATATCACCTAATTTTTGTTGGTGCTGACACACATTGAGCAACCAAAGCCACGAGTTTTCACTAGGGAAAAAAAATGAGGCAACGTCTCCCAACATTATTGAGTCTCTGGCTCCTTCTCCTGTGTCATTGCTGCTGCTCTGGCCTTCATGCTTCCAGAGCTGGACTCAAAGCCACTACAAGGAAGGTGAGAGGGAAGTGGGAAGTACAGGGGAAGGCGGGCACCTTGGCTTAGCTCCTTTTTGACACCCTCCCTTTAGGCAGTGTCACCCTCCCTTTAGGCAGTGTCAAGGGCTCATATCAAACTTGCCCAGCCATCCTTATGATACCATTTTTTAGTTTCCATGTGTTCCCTGAGGCAGCATGACTTTCTCCACCTGTTTCTAGGTCTTTTATCCCAATGGCATATGGGCTGGAACATGAAAGCCAGAATCCTGGTTCTTTTTCACCCTTCTTGTTCAAGGTGGATGCACAGATTTATGGCCCCCTCTGACTCCTAATCTGCACTACTGAGGTGTGCAAAGAGATTAACACTCTCCATTGAGAAGGGGAGTACATTTCTATAACGGATCAGGGCTTCTAGGGAGATGTCAGGTGTTTTCTCCTGGGTTATTAATTTCTGAGGGGGCCAGTAGCAGGCATTTAAATTCTTCCAAGGAAATAGGGCAAGTTAGCTGG